TGAGAAAGTCAATGGGAGAGAGAATAGGAAGAGGATAGAAGGATGCACATGTCTAGGATGCACACCAGAGAACATACCATTGTCATATAGAAGTGTAGGATGAAAGGATCTGCAGATATTTTCTAGATACAGGCAAAACATTTGCTACATAATCTTCCTATAACCATACCAGTCTCAGACCCACAAATATGGCCAAAACAAATGAAAAGAAACGAGGAGTAAACTACAACAGAACAAAGTAACATGTTGTTTTTTGAGATACGAGCTTTCAAAATAATCAAAAGTAATCACACATTGGGTAAAATTACTGTTCTGGAAAAGAACTCCCTGCTGGGCATCGGCAGTACAAAAAAGTAATTTTTCCATCTTGTGAATAAAATTTTGGGTAGTTGTCCATCTCACTTTATCCTCTGTTCCACTTCCAGCTGTGAGATAATTCAGACCACATATTGTGTTCCCAGAAGACTTTGCAGGGCATCTCTTTTTTTCAGAAAGAGGGGGAGCTAATCTAACAGGACAAGACAACAAGCATTTTGCATGGGATCAGTGAAAGAGGCAGAATAAAGTGAACTTGTATGTTTTGCATTAAGGTGGTTGAGCTGTTTAGAAGCTTGTGGGGTTTTTTTGTGCTTTGAGCCATATGCTGTATTTGAGTACATAGTTGATAGATGCAGGGCTTCTAAGAAGTAAGTAACTGACTTGGTTGGAGACAGAACTAGCAACCACTAACCCTATCTAGTTTTCCTCCCCTTAGTTTTGAAGCTCAGCAAGCAGAATGAGAACAACAGGCATTTTGCAAAGGCTTTCTGCAGGGGAGTTTGAGAGAGAACACTGGGATGCTATTACACTTCCTAGTAGAACTGGGAGCTATGTTCTTGCCTTGTATGCAATAAGTACAAGCCAGCTGTAGTGCTGAAAGAAGAGATACAACATCTTCAGGCCCACATTTCTACACTCAGAGTTCTCAAAGAGGAGCTTTCTGAACAGAGAACAGCAGACTCTCCTGGAAGAATAACACACAGGAGATGCCTCAAAGGGAAGGAGAGAGGTCCAAGACACAGGAGGCATATACTTGGAAGAACATGATATTATTAGGAACCATACTGTGAGTCTGAAGCTACACAATTAATTCCAAGCTCTCTCCTTGATCAGTGGTTATGGGCCACACAAACTACAGTCTCAGTCTTCAGAGATCACAGAAGACCCAAGAACAGTTTGATGGATGGAAAGGCTCCTGACATCAGTCGTCAGAGGAAGGAGAGATGTATGGTGATGGTGAGAGATTCCCTGCTGAGAGGAACGGAAGTAGTTGAGAGCTGTGCTGTCATCCAGGAATAAAAATTCCTGATGTAGCAGAGAGAGCTGACAAAATTCATGAAGCTCACTGATCTTCCCATCTCTCTGATCCACATGGGGGGAAACAATACTGCAAGATACAGTCTTCAAAATACTGCAATGGACAATGGCACTTTGGATAGGCAACGGCCTTGGGGCACTTCCTCACAGGAAGTGAAGCGAACAACTGGCTCCACAGGTGGTGTCACTCAAATCTGCAGGAAGCAAGTCCGCCGATACCAAGGTCCCACTGTACAAAAAGATATTTCAACTAAACATTAGGAAGAACTTTTTACTGTAAGAGTTGTTTGACAACAGTGGAATGGACTATTTTTGGGGTATGGTGGTATTTATTTATTTAGAGTATTTGTATCCCACTGTTCAACCAAAATGGGCCCCTTGGCAGCTTACAAATAATGAATTGGACAGGATTGGCTTTTCCTTCATTGGATGTCTTTAACCAGATATTGGATAACCATCTCTCAAAAGTGCTTCAGCTGTGTATGACATGACAGAAGGTTGAACTAAATGGCCCTTGGGATCTCTTATTCTGTGATTTTCAGAGGTAAAACATTTACTCTACACTCATAACACAAAGCAATGTAGTCTCAACAAACACATTTCTGCGACCTGAAAGTAGTGATTAAACCTTGGTCATTCAGTGAGTTTCATGGCTGAACTGGAATCTGAAATTGGATTTTTCTACCTCAACATTGTGAGTTCTGCTCCCCATTGACTCTCAGAAAAGCAGGTGCATGAGAACATGAGAATCAGGCCAGTGAACATATCAATGGACTACACCCTATACAAACAGGATTAGCTACCAGTGGTAATTACTGGTGTTTAATTCTATAAACCAACTCTCCAGATGTTGTTGGACTGCCAATCCCAGCAACCCTAGCAGTATAGCCAACAGTGAAAAATGATGAGACTGGCAGCCCAACAATAACTAAAGGCTATATAATATCTACCCCTGCTGTAAACCATAAGAATTAAAAAAGAAAAAAAAGAAATAATAACAGCATAAAAACCATGTGCAAGGTACCCTGCAACCCCAAAAGGATATCATAGCCGAAGCGGATCACATCGTTCAGTTTTAGCGTGATGTACTTCTGGTCAGGAATCCGTACGTCATTCACAAAAGTCTATAGAAAAAGAAGGAGAAAATTCCATTAAAAGGACATAGCAAGGAGGAAAGAAATGAGTAATCAACACGGGACACTTTTGTAAGAACACCAATTCGGCTTGAACAACTCATCTGACCTTCCTTGTTACCAAACGTCAGAGGCAACTGGTGACTTCCATGTCAGTTGGCCAGTTACTCCACTTTTAGTTTTGGTATGAACTTTAAAGGAGCTTTCTGAGATGCTGAAATGTATCCCCTCCCCTCCCAAGATTCAGCATCTTGGATAGGTCCCTTCAAAATTGGATTAAAATCCAGAGAAGATTCATTGCCTCATGGAAGTCACCAGTGCCTCTGCCAAGCATTAACCAATGCTTTTTCCCCCTCCAGCCCTCTTTTTTGTTTGTTGCAATAGCCCTTCTCTACCTACTTCTAAAAGGTTTCCAACAATATCAGAGCACTTTCCACCCCAAAACTGAGGCTGTAGAGAAGCAGAAACCATACTGTCCCAATGCTCTCTCCAGATGTTTTCATAATCAGAAATATCCATATGCTGCTCATGCTGACCCACAAAAATGTCATTCTGGAACTCAAGGGGAATAACAATAAATACTTAGCATTTCTCTGCCATGTGATGATCAAATGCTTTTAAGATACAACATGTCAATAACCCTTACAACTACCCTTTAAGTTAGACCACTTCTATGACTCCCCATGTTGCCAGGAAGGACCTAGAGTTCGAAAATGTTTATTCACTTTTTGAACTGTTGCCTGTAGGGAAATCTGAACCAATGACTTCCTGTTTTATGGTCCAGTCTTTTAGCTAGTACTTAACAGAAATTTGGAAAGTGCTGTGTCTCAAACAGAAAGAGGAATCACAGTTTGGATGGGATGCATGACTAGTGGACATACTGAATTACAAGTGTGTGAACTGTAATAGAACCCATGGTTTTTCTCAGGTCTGAAAGGAGCATTATTTCTTGCCTGAAGTGGCATGTAAAACCCACCAAGGCTCAGATGTCTAGGGAGAGGAAAAAATAAAGAGAAATGTCTTTATACAAGATTGTGCTTCAATAAAGGAGATCGGGTTTTCAGATGCTCCTTGCTTTTTTAAGTGGTTAATCCTCCTTCAAAACACACTCTGACAGATGAAAACAGATGTCCCTTATTTCTCCTCTTCACAATTCCACACTATTTAAGAGACAGCATTTATTTCGATTGCTACTATGCCATGTGGGTTTGTCAGACAATGTTGTGCTGAGATTGTATCAGAACTCAGATCTCAGTTTGTAGTCATCCTGTCAAAAAGACTGAATGTCATGGATGTGCATCTTGTATGTGCAGTATCTCAAAGCAGCCTCATCTACCTCCACACTGCAGCAAGAAACTAGGGTTATCAGCTCAGGATCATCCCAGGCACTGATATTTCTGGGCCAAAACCTGAGACAAGGGAATGCTCCCTGGTGATGCCATTAAGTGTTATATATTAGCAATGCTAAACCTCCTCTGAACAAATCTTGCCAAGAAAACCCTATGATAGGTTTCAAGCCAAGGTGATATGGAGGGATATTTTCTTCTCACTTACTTGGGAGATGGGGTAAGGAACATTTAATCTAGCTCAGTATATAATCCTTATAAAATGTTAAAATATTAATATACATGAATGTGTGAACAAAAATACACACACTAAACAAACAAAATACTTTTATTTATATAATATGTTGGGTGGATGTCCACATGTAGATGTAAATAATAATAAATAATAAAACTTTTATTTATATCCCGCTTTTTGTAAAAACAATCAAAGCGGTGTACAACCAATTAAAATAATACAAAATATATACAATATCCCCCTCCCCTTAAAAAATGTAAAAGAGGGTAAAAAGTTTGAAAACTGCTGATCAAGCCTACTTCCTTCTAGCCAGAAAAGGTGGATGCAGAGCAAAGCAGGGGTGAGCCCTAACCTTACAATGAATGGGAGTGGAGGAAGAAGCTGACTAAACAAATGCAGAAACCACTTGGAAAAATCTGTATAAATTGCAGCAACAAATCAATTAAGCCTTAGAAAATGTAGCAAGTTGTTGGTCTCAGAACTGAGCTGGACATGTGCACACACATCATCTTGTTCTTTCCAGGAGCTGAGCTCCCCAAAACGGTACAGTCTGCACCCTCATTTTCTGCCTGAAGATGACCCATGAAAACTGGAGACTCAGAGCCAGAGATTTGACAACCCTGGAAGAAACACACAGCAGTTTGATGAATTCAGTGTGCTAGATAGCAACCCACTGTCAGGTTATTCTGTTTCCTTTTTATTAGAGCAGGGTGTTCTTAAACTGCAGCCTGGAAAGGCAGTTCAATAACTCAAGAACCAAATACTTAAAATAAAAGAGAGGCTTCATGAAGATAAGAAACACCAACTAGCAAGCACAGACAGTTTGGCTAAAGAGACTCGCTTTCTAAGGCATAAACAGGAACACTAGAGAAATAGTTCAAGCAGGAGCAATATGTTTAAACTAGGGCTACACTACAAGCTTGCTGAGGAGCCAGTGTGGCATAGTGGTTTAAGCGCTCGACTCTGGAGACCAGGGTTCAAATCCCTGATCAGCCATGGAAACTCACTGGGTGTCAAAGGGCAAGTCACATACTCTCAGCCTCAGAAAAACTTTTTTTTAAAAAAAAAAGTATTTACAAGCATGGATGGTTGAATCCATGCATAAAAAATCTGTGGATATAGATACCTGACTGTATTTCTTGTTTTCTTCTTAATTGTTGTATTTTGAATTGGTTTTAATTTTACTTATAGTTTAATTACATTTTTAGCTTTCTCATTAGGTCAAATCTTAGCTATGTTTGTTTTAACCATTCTAAGATGTTTTGCCTACCTTTATTCACTTTAGGGTCACCCTGAGTTGGAAACAATTTGAAGGCACACAACAACCATAAGAAGCTTGTAAGATGTAGTAGGGAAGGATCCAACTGTCCTTTCCACCTTTTAAAAGGGTCTCTCTACAACTCCATCAGTATTCAAGAAGTGTCTCAAATCATCAGCTATGGGGCCTAAATCCAGTATTACAATGGAACCAGACTTTGGGAAAGTCAGCCTTACTAGAATAAAACTCCTGGAAGCTTCCAGTCAGTCAGCAGCCATACATGCTGGGACATTCTGGGAATTATAGTCCTAAAAAGTAAATTTTAACAAGTGCTTTCTTCCAATAGCCATTGCAGCCTATATGTCAGCTTTAAGGGTGCATAAGGAATTCTAAAGGGAATGTGTGCTTCCCCTCCACACTACACTGACAGAAATAATCCTGTCATTGGAACAATGTTGTTGGATCTTGCCTTCTTTTGCAGCCAGAAGTGATGGGTCACTATAAAAGATACACATGTGGCAGTTTCTGCCACTCCCCACCCAGCCAAGAGATTATTAGAATAACTAAATTCAATATATCATTAAATCCATAAATTGTTTTGTTTGGACTCTTGAATGTATCCACATTTAAACAGCACTCTCTACATATGCTGGAAGATGAAGAGATGGAAGACAAATCATAGAAACGGTTATATGGATTTTTGCTTCCAAACCCATTACGCTTCCAAACCCATTTATCAACACAAATAATTGCTTCTGAATAATTTAAACTGCTTTTGTATCAGGGGTGTCAACAGGGGAGTGCAGGGGGTGTGGGCCACACCAAGCAACACCCAAAGGGGTGACACCACTGGTCCCCAGATATCTCCCTTCCAGCAAAAATGGGCTGTAGCCTTGACATGCGTTCCTTTAAAATGCCAAAGAGATGGTGGGAGAGGGACAAGGCTCAGTGAGAAGTGAATTAATTTTTTTTTAAAAAGTTTTAAATTTTAATTTAAAAAATTATTCTTACATTTTCTTTAAAAACAATACATCTTACCATAATTTCACTTTAACCATGTGAAACTATGTACACGTAAATACATTTAGGCTGTATACATGCTATTGTAAATAATACATTTAGGCTGTATACATGCTATTGTAATTTGTAGGTATAATTTTAATTTTGTTCTTTTACATCACAACTACTGCCATTACATTCAGTGATACACAGGAATTAAGATTTATGGGCAACATAAGTACAAAAAAAAGTTTCTAAGGATTCTGTATGGTGTTGGATAAGAGGAGGTCAATGGAGGGGGTGAGACCATGAGTTACCGCACTGGGTGATGCCAACCCTAGTGATGTCACTGTTTGGTATACAAGCACGTGTCTTTTGTTGTTTAAAATTTTAATATATTATCATTGCCATTATCTCTCTAGGAAGAAAAAACCTGGAGACTGTCCAAACTGGTATTTTTTTTCTTTTGGACAGCTTGACAATTTACTTGGTGAGTAAATATTGATTCAACATCTTTTCTCTAACAAAAAAACCCAACAACGCCCATATCCTCACAATTTATAAAAATGGATAAGTAATCAGGGAAAGATCAGGGGAAATGTCTTTGTGACTGTCATGTGGGAGAGCTCATCACCACAGATCTTTCAGCTGCCAAAACACGAAGAAAGGGTTTCCGACATACCTGACACTCAAAGGAGGTTGAACATCTCACCAAAACATAAGAGAGGGGTCTTCCTCAAGGGTCATGGATTAATCACTTTAGAAACAGCTGGATTCATCTAGACCAGCCTTCTCTAACTTGGCACTTTCAAGTATTTTGGTCTACAACTCCCAACAAGCCCTCCTGTCTGTTCCACAAACCTCACAGGTCCATCTGATGGAAAGTCGGAAGAGGGCCTTCTTGGTGGCTTCTCCCAGGCTCTGGAATTTCCTTCCTAGAAAGGTGAGACTAGTACCCTCCATGCTATCTTTCAGCAGGTGGGTGAAGACATTTTTTGTTTCATCAGGGCTTTAAAAGACTGATCGCATAAGGGGAACAAGGTCTTTCATAATATGCTGCATTGTGTACAATGGACCCTTGGTATCCACTGGGGTTTGGTTCCAGGACCCCCTGTGGATACCAAAATCCATGGATGCTCAAATCCCATTAAATACAATGGCATAGTAAAATAGTGTCCCTTGTATACAATGGCAAAATCAAGGTTTGCTTTTTGGAATTTAATTTTTTTTTAAAAAAAAAAAAAAACAATTTTTAAGCATGGATGGGTGAATCCATGGATTAAAAATCTGTGGATGTGGACACCTGACTGTATTTCTTGTTTCTTCTTAATGGTTGTGTTTTGAATTGGTTTTAATTTTACTGATAGTTTAATTACATTTTCAGCTTTCCCACTGGGTCAAATCTTAGCTTTGTTTCTTTTAACCATTCTAAGATGTTTTGCCTACCTTTATGCGGTGGTGGGATTGTATGTTCCTTTGAGGCAAGAAACTATGCTGACCCCCCTCCCCCGATACCAAAATCTGTGGATGTTCAAGTCCCATTAAACACAATGGCATAGTAAAATGGTGTCCTCTGTATTAAACAGGTGACTCAAGGTTTGCTCTTTTTTGAATGTATATCTTTATGGAATATTTTCAAGCCAGAGATATTGAGAGCCAAATATACAGTTGGCCCTCCGTTTTTGTGGAGGATCTGTTCCAGACACACACACACACACACACACACACATGCAGGCAAAAATGGAGACTCACCAATATTCAAGCCCCATAGGCCTGAATGGGGCACACTCCTGTGGATATGTGCAAGTGCCTGCAGGGGCATGCCCTATTGATTTAAACTGAGATCACTGTTCCGTGAATATGCAAAACTGCAGACTTCAAGTCTGCGAGAATAGAGGGGCGACTGTATTGCACAGAGAGGAGCATGAAAAATGCCTTTTGAATGTCTTTTACCATGAAAACCCTATGATGAGACAATCTAAAATGACGAGATAGTGGCACGTGTCTCCTTCTTCAACTCCAACTGTTGGGAGTGCTTTGATTGTGGAGTCCTGCATGGCTGGGAATGGGACTAGATGAACTTTGTGGTCTCTTCCAACTCTCCGATTCTATGCCAAAATACAACCTGAAGAACATCCCCATAGAATTTAAAGATAATTTTAAAAACAGATTTGTAGTATCAAGCCTAATTGACTGGGAGCCAGAAGAACACTGGAATGAAACCAGGGACATTATCAGGGAAAAATGAAAAGGACACTAAATGCAGGCAAAAAGAAAGAGAAACCTTAATGGAAGACAAAGGAAACTCTTCAAGCAGTTAAGGACAGACAAGAAGCAAAAGTAAAAGGTGCCAGAAATAGGGTCAGAATCTTATACGCAACTGTTCAGCAACTTGTGCACAGGTACAAGGAGAACTATTATAATAAACAATACAGAGAAATAAGTTGATAATAAAAAAGTAAGAACAAGAAATCTCTTCCACAAGATCTGAGAAATTTAAACCAAGAATGGGGAAACTGAACAATTTCCAATTAGCATGGGCTTCAAAACCCAGCATGGCATAATGGTTTGAATGTTGGACTATGACTCTGGAGACCAGGATTCAATTCCCCCCTTGACCATGAAACCCAGTAGGTGACTTGGGTAGTAACATGCTCTCAGCCTAAGGGGAAG